TGAACTAGTTGGGAAAGAAATCAAGAAGGCAATACCATTTACAATAGCTACAAAAAAATAAATGAAATACCTAGGAATAAATTTATCTAGAGGTAGAATATCTCTACAAGAAAATCTACAAATCTCTGATGTAAGAAATTCAACAGGATGCAAACAAAACAAAAACCATTAAAATGATATTAATTCAAAGCAATTTGCAGATTCAATGTAATTCTTATCAAAATACCAACATCAATTTTCACCAGAATAGAAAAAACAATCTTAAAATTCACATAAAATCAAAATGGAGCCTGAATAGTCAAAGCAATTCTGAGCAAAAAGAACAAAGCTGGAGGCATTATATTATCTGACTTCAATATATATTACAAGGATATAGTAACCAAAACAACATGATACGGATATAAAAACAGACACATAGACCAATGTGACAAAAGAGAGAATCTAGAAATAAATACATATATTTACAGCCAGCTAATTTTTGACAAATGCGTGAAGAACGTACACTGGGAAGGCACACCCTCTTCAGTAAATGGTGCTGGGAAAACTGGATATCCATATGCAGAAGAATGGAACTAGACCTGTGCCTTTAAATGTATACAAACATAAACTCAAGATGAATTAAAGACCTAAATATAAAATTTTATAGCTAAGACCTCAAAAGCTCAGGCAACAAAACCAAACATAGACAAATGGGACTAAATCAAACTAAAAGGCTCTGCATAGCAAAAGAAACAATCAACAGAGTGAAGATACAACGTGCTAAATGGGAGAAAGATATTTGCAAACTGTTCATCCAACAAGAGACTAACATCCAAAATATACAAGGAATGCAAGCAACTGAACAGTAAAAAAAACAAATAATTCCATTAAAAAGTGGGCAAAGGACACGAATTGAGATTTTTCAAAGGAGAAGGCCTACAATGGCCAACAGGTATATGAAGAAATGCTCAACATCGCTAATCATCTAACCACAGTTAGAATGACTATTATTGAAAAAGACCAAAGCCAAACTAAAACAAACAAACAAAAATATAGATGCTGGCAAGGATGTGGAGAAAGGGAACTCTTACAGACAGTTGGTGGGAATGTAAATTAGTAGAGCCACAGTGAAAAATTGTATGGAAGCTTATCAAAAAACTAAAAATAGAACTACCATATGATCCACCAATCCCACTACTGGATATTTATCCAAAGAAAAATCAGTGTATGAAAAATGTTCCTGCATTCATGTTTATTGGAGCACTATTCACAGTAGCAACAATATAGAGTCAACCTCAGTGTTCATCAATGGACAAATGTATAAAGAACATGCGGTAAAAATACACCCTGGAATACTATTTGGCCACAGAAAAGAATGAGATGATGTCATTTGCTGTAATGGATGAAACTGGAGGTCCTTATGTTAAATAAGTTCTACACAAATATACAAACATTGCATGTTCTCACTCATTACTGGAAGCTAAATGAGTTGATCTCTTGAAGACAGAGAGGAAAATGGATACCAGAGGCAGGGAAGGGTAAGTGGGGTGAAGACAGTTTGGTTATTGGGTATAAATATACAGTGAGATAGAAGGAATACATTCTAATGTTTGTAGGTTGACAATAATGTATATTTCAAAATAGCTAGAAGAGAGGACTTGAAATGTTCCCAACACACAGAAATAGTAAATACTTGAGATGACAGATATCCTAAATACCCTGACTTGATCATTACTCCTTCTATGCATGCAAAATATCACATGTAGCCCATATAATGTATCTACAAAAATGTCCTAAAAACTGAGATTTAATCAGATTGTTAAACTCTCCCCCATCCAACAACTAACCACCACACCAATAGAGCTCCAACAAGAAAAATGGTGAATTACAGTTAAAACAGATACAAGACACAGACCCTCTCTAAGAAGGACTACTTAGGGAAGCCCAAGTCAAAAGCGAGGGCAAAAAATGAAGCAGAGGAATTTGGAGCTAAGAACCAAAACAAACTGCTAGAAATAGTCAACACTGTAACAGAAATGAAGAATGCCTTTGATGGGCTCATCATTAGAACAAATATGGCCAAGGAGAGTAGTATCAGTGAGCTAGAAGATATGTCAATAGAAACCTATCAAACCGGAAAAAAAAAGGGCTGGGGGCAAATAGAACATCAAAAAACTGTGGAACAATTTCAAAATGTCTAACATATCACAATAGGAGTATCAGAAACCAAAGCAAAGGGAAAACAGAGAAGAAAGAATGGCTGACAACTTTTCAAAATTAATGACAGACACCAAACCACAGACCCAGCAAGCTCAGAGAACACCAAAAATAAAGACCAAAAACAAAAAAACTACACCTACACATTTCATATTAAATCTGTAGGAAGGCAAAGACAAAGATAAATTTTTGAAAGCCAAAAGAAAAAACATTTTACCTATAGAAGAAAAGAATAAAATTATGGCAGACTTCTTGTGAGACACTAGGTAAGCCAGAAGAAATTGGAGTGAAATATTTAAAGTTTTGAAAGAAAAAAAGCAAGCCAACCTGCCCTGCAACAAATGGGAAGTTCTTCAGGCAAAATGAAATGATGTCAGTTAGAAGCTTGAATTACATAAGAAGAGCATCAGAGAATAAATAAGTGAAAATGAACAAAATCCTTAATTTTTCTTAATTGATCTGTGAGGTAATTGATTGTCCAAAGTAATAAATGTAATAATGTATTTAGTGATTATACCATATGGATAAGTGAAATGAATGATAGCAATGTTCTAAGGGCAGAAATGAGAAATTGGGAATGTGTGGTTATAAAATGCCTACACTATACTTGAAGGCAGGCTTATATTTGAAAAAAAGTTTATATTGTGAACTCCAGGGCAACCATTTAAAAATTCGTAAAAAGAATAACTGGCATGCTAAGAGATAAAACAGAATCATAAATTGTTCAAAATTAGAGAAAGAAAAAGAAGAGGATAAAGAGTGGACAAATGCAACAAATAGAAAAAAGTTACAAACATGGTAGATGTTCATTCAATTATATCAACTATCACTTTAAATGTGAAAGGTCGTGTGATTTCCTTATGACTTGTACTGTAAACTAAGAGACAGGTAAGTATTTTAAGGTGCTGATAAGCAGAATGCCTAGTCAACAGCTTTGACTTGTTCAAATTGTTTCTTGACCACTGGGGAAAAAAAAAAATAAAGGATGTCAATATCTAGTGATCCAAGCAGCATATTGTTTTCTAGTAAATTCAGAAATCTGGTTAACTTTTTGTATATTGGTGGTCAAATTAAGATTGGCATACATTTCCATTGTATGTGGTATTTATTATGAGATATTTATCAAATTGATCCAAATTTGGCATGTGCTTGGGATACAAATAAAACACATAGCAATCCATCAAATTCTCCTCTCACATCTATGGTGTAAACTTTTTGCTACTCATTCCATAGTAAGCATATGCTTTACCACCATAGGCATAGGTTTCTCTTACTGAAGACTCTTACTGAAGTTTGTAGAAAGCTCACAGTATTGGTGGGGGAGGGTGGAAACTTGGGTTCCAATAGGATTTTACCAGTTACCAGTTGCATGCCCTAGGGCAAGTTATTTAATATATCTGAGTCACTTGGGTTGATCTATCTGTAAAATGGGAATATTAGTTACACTTTGTGGTTGTGTGAGGGTTAAATAATACATGTAAAATGCCTAACCTGTTAAGTGAGCCAAAAAAAAAAAAAAAGCAATTGAGAAAGCACATGTCCTCATTCAAGCAATACTTATCAAGTGTACTACAATTCTCTAGAACACGATGAGATTTCTACTTGTCCTCTAGAATTTGCACACTAGAGACCCAGAAGATATGTCAATTCATGAATCAATGTAGTCAGCCATAAAGAACAATCAGCAGTGGATTTCTTGATACACATATGGTATGTAAACTCATAACAATAAAGTTTTATATAATTATTTTTTTTAGGGAAAAAAAATCCTATTTTTAGCAAGTGCCAATAAATCATTTTCACTTATTCAACTTACTTTCCCTTCAGTATGGCAGCAACCAATACTCAAAGTTAGGGAAAGCCTGTAACAGTTAAATACAGGCCTATCTGAGAGTTTGGCTCTATGTGCCTAAAGAGGCCACCACATTTTCTCTGACATACAAGTTCAAAGCCCCACACAGGAAAGTTTTACTGGCTTTAAATTCCTTTTTTTTTTTTTTTTTTTTTGAGATACAGTATCACTCTTTGCTGGGGCTGGAATGCAATGGCATGGTCATGGTTCATTGCAGCCTCTGCCTCCCAGGCTCAAGTGATCCTCCCACCCGTTTCCTGAGAGGCTGGGACTACAGGTATGCATCACCATGCCAGGTTAATTTTTGTATTTTTTGTAGAAACAGGGTTTCATATTGATCAGGCTGGTCTTGAACTCCTGGGTTCAAGTGATCTGCCCACCTCTGTTTCCCAAAGTGCTGGGATTACAGGCATGAACCACCACCCAGCCTCTGGTTTTACATTTCTAGCCTCCTTGGTACATCCTTTATCAAAGACACATCTCCACTGTTGACATTTTCCTTTTAGTCACCACACCAGAAAGAATTTTTTTTTTTTCTTTTTAAAGAGTTCTTTTCCATTACCACTGGTTATCAAAGTACTATCATTCTATTTCTCACTTTGGATTTACTTTTCCTTTCCAGCTACACTAGAGAAGCTATATTACTGCCAGTTATAGGAAACAAAAACCCGACTTGGTTGAGAATTAGAGAATTCAAAATGTTAGTAAACATTGGTCTAACGTTTGAATTTAACTTATATGTGACTCTTTCATATATTAAAAAACTCCGTAGCATTTACTGAAGATTAGAATATATTTTAAGGAATCCCAAGAAAAACAATCCAGATAATTAATAAAAGTCCCATGTCAGACACACTCCATGAAGAAATTCTGAAACTGACTTTCTATCTTGCTTTAATGACTTCATTTATGACTTCTGTGAAGAATGTGAACACAGTAGAAATAACAGCCATTTATTTTAAGTATCAGTTTTTATTAAAAAGTGCATTTTGATTAATTTATGGTCTAGGTAAGCTGTAAGATACCAGTATACTCTCTGGAATAATAACTTTACAAAGATTTAAAACAAACAAAAATTTAAAAGCCTTTTTATTTCCTTCACCATTATTGTTTTACAATACAAATATCACCTTGTGAATACACAAAAAAATCCTACGGAAGATAATTCTGCTGCACGTAAAATACAGAATGGATATATATATATACTTCTTCATTCTTAAAAAACTATTTTGTTCTCCACATTGGCAAGTATAGAATAGAATACTTCCCCAAACATACGTATGTTAGGAGTAAAACTTAGAGTTACATGCAGTTTCTGCACAAATATCTTTTAAAGAAATAGGTCTCTTTATTTGTTGTTCACCAACAAAACTGTCATGAGAGTATGGATAATTAATTCATAGCTTTCAAGTTTTAGGTAAGTGATCATTTTCAAAACTCTCTTTAAAGAAAAGATATTCATGGCTGTTTTCATTGAGTAGTTAAAATCAAACTACCAAATAGACGGTAAAATAATTTAAATGGTACATGTCATTCTACCTGATCACAATATGTGAACAGGCTCTGATTCTAATTAACAACCTCATTATTTAAGTCATTTCAATTTTAAAACCATAAGCAGTCATCTGATTTAATTTAGCTATAAATGCAAAATTTAGTAGTGTATACATACATTTATATTTTCATGGAATACTTTATTTTAAATAAAAACATTTAAGATTGCCTACTGACCATACAATCAAGACAAGAAAGGCACTAGAAACATAGACAAATTTCTCTCCCAAGATGCATTTTTAAATTTTAACTCTCTTCTCTCTGACATGTTAAAAATCTTTAAATTTGGTTTTCATAACATCATTTTGAAAAATAAAGTTAGGAAATACTTAGAAAATCACTTTATAACAGAATCTTTTTTTTTTTTTGCACTTTTTGAAACACTGTCTTTGTGATTTTACAAAACCCAAAGTTACCAAACCTTTCTGTGTCTATCATTTTTATTTGAATATCGGTGCAACAGATAGAAAGATTTCAGAATCAAACCCCATTCAGGTACTTAGAAACCTTCATAGAGACATATGCTAGAAAATGGCTTACAGCCCAATCTTTGGGGCAAGAGATATGAAAAGTATGTTTTCCCAAGAAAATAATATGCTTTATTTCCAGATGTGACTGGAAAGACCAGAACTTATGATATAAAAGCTTACATTTATGCTGTTGCATCATATACAAAGGAACATGGTGGTTGCGGGTTATGTAAATCCCAAACTTATGAACAGGAAATGTGTACAGTGCATGATAGGTTAAATTTTTCTTTATTGTTGTCCAACGCAGGTCCTTTGGAGAGAAAAAAAGATCACAGTGCTGACCAGGTAACTCAATAGGTTAAGTCTAGGTAACCATTGAAAGATAATAGGATTAGGGAGGTGTTTATTTTATGGCATCTTCTCTCATGGAGTTCTTAGCACTTCGGACAATTTGTCTTTTCCCCACTTTGTACAGCTGTTATGTGTCATTCACCAACCGGCTGTATTTAACTTGCCTACTGAGGTGGACTACTGGCCAGGGAAAAGGCCAATGGTAAGATCGAGGTACAATTCCTTGGACATTCTTTTCAAAGTACTGAAATGGCCTGTACCACCACACCCTGGCCAGGAGGTTCATCTGGGAAGCTTCCTTTAGCACCTAGGATAACAAAGAAACATACACACTTTTCTCAAGATCTTTCACTTTTAGTTCAAATATTTGCCATGCTAAAATTCCCAAAGGACCCCAGACCTGCCCTACATCCACCCACATATCTCAGCTTCTCTCTCTCATCACCATACAATGCTCCACACTCAACTACAAACTGAGCCACATCTCAGTAAAAAAACACCCCAATTCGGGGACAGCAAGGAGAACTTATGGCTCACTTATCTCTTGTCTCAATTAGCTTTTAAGGTATTCCTCTTCTATGCTAAAAATGTTAAAGCTTAATTAAATGTTAAGTATTAAGCTTGTGATGGGCCCAGGGTAGAGATAAGAGGGTAGGAAAGTGAATCAAGCAAGGATGGACACAGGCTTAGAAAGTATTTTTCGTTTTTCATGGACAGTGAAAGTGTGATACTTGTTCTAGTCAGAAGTAATTCCTTAAATCATTATATTAATAAACTTTTTATTCTTTATTCTGAAGAGGATAGATGTCACGAGACAATACAATCTTAGTTATTACCTCTTAAGAAAGAGAAACTTAAGACATCCATGGATTCTTTGCACCCTGCCCAAGCCAGCAACAGCAAGCCATAAGCCATAGAAGCTAAAATCAAAAAGGGGGAAACTCACTTGCTGATTGGCCATAGTGTGATACCACCAGAAGAGTCTTGTGGTGATGTAATATGCCACCACCACGTCCACAGTGTAGTGGTCATGCGCTAAGAGAATACAGAAGATTCCAACTACGCTGAGAAGCCAGCAAATCCAGTGATACCACCAGAGACGTCGAGGGGAATCTGAAAGGCGAAAAGATTTGCATTAGTCCCATTATTCGAATGACATTAAGGGTACCCAACGATGCTTCTGCTACTACTTCTGAATCCAGTTACCTTGAGTCTTTCCTTTTGAAAACAGATCTAGTGAATCTAAGGGCTTTCACTTAACGGTAACCAAGTTTAGAACAGAAACAGCTTTTTATAATGTGATTATACTAGTGATAGTAATTCATATTTGGTTCTTGATTCATATAATCATAAATAGAGTTTCAAAGATGAGTCTAATCAAATAAGGACAGGCTAATCCATCATGCTTCATTTTAAAAAAACTGTCCATTGACATTTAAATTTACCTCTAGCTAATTTGGGGTTGATGCTTTATACAAAAATCAATACCTTTTGGTCCATAGGACTAAGCAGTAATAATTGATTTGACTGTACTGCTTTCCAAGTTCTGCAACCATACACTAATCTGAAAGTCTTTGAGATTTTCATTTCTCAAATACAGGCAAAAAGCATCCAGATGCCTGGGAATTTTAGTTCAAGTGCCTCCTCAAAGGTAGAATGGTGTCAGATAAATACTTGCCTGCCCCCCATTTGAGAAATCACCTGAGAAAAACATCAAAATCTCTATTAGTGCAGGCCTTTCTATCTCACATTCTCAATTGTGGGATTCAGAGCCTCTGCAGTGTTAGGCAAAATGTTGTTTGAATATGATCTACCCTCTCCACACCAGCTGGGAGGTTCAGGCTTTTACTAGATTCTTAAGGGGTCCAAGAACCAGTCTTTCATTTAACTGATATTCGTTGAGCCTCTTACATGCCAAGGACAAGCAATGCTCTAGGTACCTGGATCAATGAACAAAAAAGGCAAGGAGTGTGCCTTTGTGGGGGGATCACTTCCTAGTGGGGAAAAGAGATAAGAGACAATACTTATAATAACTAAGTAATTTACACATTATGTTAGGTGTTAAAGGCTGTGGAAAAATAAGAAAGTTGAGCTGGATAAGGGAGGATCAGAAGTATAGGGAGTGAAGGGCAATTTGCAATTTTAAATGGAGTAGTCAGGGTAGGAATATTCTAGTAATATTTGTATTTGATAACTTGACAATACAAAAACAGGTAGCAGCTACCATTCAATCTCCATGTGACTCTATTAGTATCCATACATGCCATCTATTTTAATTTTTGTAAACTTTTTCCCATCCCATGAGGTAGATGTGAATATCTTATTCTAAAGATGAGGAAACTAAGACTTAGAGAGGTTAAAGTTTCTTCCCAGGGTCATAAAGCTAGTAAATGATAGTACCAAGGCCTCTACATCTCAATATGACACATTGCCTTATTGTCAAGATGGAAAAGCCTTGACCCCATTAAAGAATTTCAGGTATCAGGCATCAGGAGCCAGGAATCCCTCCCCCACAGTTGTTGACATCTGGTCTATGTGGTTCTCATGGTCCACATCCAGTTACATCCCATTACAAGGGCTAGATTATACCCTGAAAATTCTTAATAGACCTTGCTAGAATTCACTATACTGCTCACATAGTAAGTATAAGCATAGGAATATCTAATCTCTTTTCTATCTGTGCCCTGAAGCACATTTCTCTTCTCTGCCTGTATTTCTCTATCTTAGTTTTTCAAGGACAAAACTGGGCTTTAACCCATTCTACCATCTGTTTTCTGTATCCCACAATCCAACTTGCTATCTGCTGACTCTCTTTATTAATGTCTTGAAGTGCCTGCCACTTTAATTATACTAACATTTAATTTCCTTTCTAAAAGGGTTATCTGAATTAAATATGAAAAATGCTAATATATATTAAATCTGAGCCATATATGGAGTATCTATGATATTATTTTGTAATTTCCCAATAAAATATTTTTAAGTACCTTTCTTAAAGGAAATTTCCCATTTAATATCTGCCTCAGCCCTGACCCTATGGTCTTATTGAGGACAGGGATGTGTCTGACCCATTACTATACCCTCAGGCATGTGGCATAGTGCCAAGTGCTGATAAAATGGCTGCTGCGTCAATACATGATCTACCATCACCCAGTCAGGCTTGATCCTGGATTTCCGTGTCCCTTTGAGATTTCCATTTGGTTCCTTACAGCAGCTGTATAACTGGCTCATAACACACCCTGCAGGCTGTACTTGGAACTGCCTCCACCCGAGTACTACAGCTAACACTTCAGGACACCTTCTCCTCAGGAAGACCAGTTCTGTCTTTCCACGTATTTCCCTGGGTGCCAGGTCCACAGCGCTGAGATGAAGCTGCGACTCTCCTGAAGCCTCCAGTCTTACCTCAGCAGATTTTCCAGAAAACTTGTTTTACCAGAGGACCATCGAGCATGAGAAATGGCAGGTGAGGAAATTCTAATGGAGGTCTGTTTTAGACTTACACTCTTTGATAAATAAGTAGGTGAGTGTTAGCATGACCGTGTGCCCGCTGTACAGATAGTCCCCACACATGTTGTGAGAGCCAGTGATAGACAAGCCACCTCCAGCAATGAGTTTCATTATTCTCCGCAGCTGGGCTTCCCAGTCTCCAAAAAGCTGGCAAAAAAAAAAAAAAAAAGAAGATTCATTACAAGCCCACATGAAAGTGTGCTAAGATTATTATTCATATCCAGAATTAAGCTTACATTAAGACACATAAAATCCCCTCCATGAAGTTTGCCCACTCAACATTTACCATTCTAAGAGCAGCCTTTGTATGTGTGACGGGGGGAGGGTCCTACAGATGAATGATGTGGCTTCAGAACTTTTCAAAGTTAGCACTTTTTAAATCACATGTCAGTACCCAGTTTTTAAAAAATTACAATGATAGAGAAACACTACTTCTATCTGACTAATTGCTTTAGTATAACTATCATTTGGGGAAAAGAAAATTTAAATCTATAGTCTAGGAAAAATTTAAAGATGTATTTTTACCATGGTTGGCCTAGAAGACAACTGTCCTACTAACTTGGCTAAAGCAGCTGAAGGTTGGGGTAGTCAAACATATGAATATTTTTGGTATGTGGATGTTCAGGGACCATACTGAAATAAGGGATGTGCCTTTAATCTTCTCAAATTATGTGGGTAGCATTGGATTTTTCAGATGATAATTTACCTGTCTATGACACAAGTCTGGACTGAACACCAGAGTAATAAATGGCTTGAATAACTCATTCATTGCAACCTTTATTTGCTCTGTCAAGTAAAATGTGTGACTGCCTATATTTTATGCTTGTCAGTACTCTTTTAAATTCTGTTTGGCCAATTTAATTATCATGATCCTTTTTCAATATTGACCTGATAAGAATACAGCTTTGGGAATCATGTTTTATTACAATATCCTTTTAAAAAATCATCAAGGCCTAGCATGGTGGCTTATGCCTGTAATCTCAGCACTTTGGGAGGCCAACGTGGGTGGATCACCTGAGGTCAGGAGTTTGAGACCAGCCTGGCCAACATGATGAAACCTCGTCTCTACTAAAATTACAAAAATTGGCCAGGCACAGTGGCTGGTGCCTATAATCCCAGCTACTTAGGAGGCTGAGGCAGGAGAATCACTTGAATCCGGGAGAAGGAGGTTGCAGTGAGCCGAGATTGCACCACTGCACTCCAGCCTGGGTGATAAGAGCAAAACTGTCTCAAAAAAAAAGAAAAAATTATCAAGACTTCTGATTAAGGATGGAAGGATGATACATCAGTGAAGTGTGGGAAATTAAAAGAAAAAAAAGAATGGCAGGTTGATGACACCACACAGAGGATATAAATTTCCAAATCCAAAGAGACCACTGAATGCCCACCTTAATGGAAGAAAACAGACCTACATATCAATGCTCACTGTCATGGGATTTCAGCATATGGGGACGAAGAAGAGACTCTAAAACCTCCAGAGATCAAAAACAAGCTTTATATGAAGGATCATCAGAATAAGGCTTTTCAAAAGCAACACTGAAAAACAGAAAGCTTTGAGAAAATGCCTTTAAATCCTGTGGGAAAACAATTTCCCACTTAGAATTCTGTACCCAGTCATATTACCACTAAGCATAAACTTAAGGATAAATTAAAACCTTTTTCATACATACACGATTTTAAAATATTTACCACTTATATACTCTTTTCCAGGAATCACAGAGGATACAGTCTCCAAAGCAAGGGAGTAAACGTGGAGAAAAGAAGAAACAGGAGTCACTAGGTTGCCAAGGAAGGAGAGATGAAGGACTGTGCAGAAACTCACAAGTTTGGTCTGGAAAGCAAACAGCCAGAATGCTCTGGAGAGATGTCATCAAGGAGATGAAACCAACAGAATACCCGATGCCTCTCGCTATCTCGAGAGGAGTTTCATAACTTCGGGGTGAGCAAGTACAAAGAAAACTACTAAAGCCAAAAACCAAGACTAACTCTACAGGGAACAAAATATTGTGCAGAGGAGGAAAGTAATTATGGGAAACTACATGACTTGGCCATGAGTCGCATTTATGGAACTGTAATAATGTAAACACTGCATATTGAGCTAAACAAAGGACAAAGAACTGCACAGCAAAGACAGGATAGGAAGTCTGAAAGTGTATAGTGGTGATGGGGTTTGGGGGGTAGGGATCATGAGGGAGGAGTCACAGAAGGGCACTAAAGCCTTGCCTTCTACAGCAGAAGTTAGTAACAGAGAATGCCTATATTCAAAAATTACAGAGTAACAATATCTCATATCACGTAGAGACACGAGAGTAAATACATTAAAAACTATGAAAAAAAGAGTGACAGACATAGAGATAAATACCACAAGGTTCAGCTAAAAGAGCTGAAAGAGAATGGGAAAAGGCGCTGTTGGAGTCAGGACCAGGAGACTACTGTTTTTCACATCAAGTTGTATAGAACAATTTTATTTTTTAAATTGCATGCCCTTATAAACATGATAAAAAATTTTTTTAAGTTTCAAATTAAAAGTTTAATTTTTTAATTTGTTATTTTTTAATTTTTAATTTAAATTTGTTAAATTTTTAATTCTGTTTTAACAATGGATAAGATGCAGAAGAAAATTATGGCAAAAAAAGCATGGGTGTTTCTTCATTTTACATTATTTCATAATGTCCTTCTAAAACTCTCTCTGTGTTTTAAAAATGATAAATCACATTCTCAGGGCAGCATCATCTGCAATTTTTCCTCTAATTTGAGCAAGAAAATCTTTGGGGAGAAACTATGTGTTTCGCACTGAGGAAAACAGCAAAAATTTAATGCTGTATTTCTTACAGGCAGCCCCTAAACTTCCTTTTAAAAATATCTTCCTATGTTTATCAAACTTCTGCAAAGGGAAAGCCTCTTAAAGCTTAGTGGGAAATAGAAAAAGACAAAAATTTAAATTATGTGTTAAAAAAGCAAAATACAAGACAAATCACAAAACAATTGCAGCAGAAACAAGTTAATATCTGTATTCTTTACCCAGCACAGAAAAATTAAGTAAAGTAAGACCAACTTAGGAAACAAAATTTATCAAATGATAAAGGATGTGACTGGATAGAGACACAAACTCTGTCAATCAAATAGAAATAAAAATTTACATAACAGGAGCTCCTTTTCTCATGTTGAATTAGCAAATCTTAAAAGAAAAAAGAGTGAGCTAACAGTGAGGCAAGTACAACAAGGACAGTGAGGCTTGTTTAAATGGAGGGGATGAAGGGGAAGCAGTGGCTGTCTCCAAAGCAGTGCAGGGAAGAGCAGGCCATGAAACAGATACCTAGGGGTAAAGTCACAGCTCTTTGAATGATTTGCTGTGTGACCTCATATAGCTGAACCATTCTAAGCCTCGATTTCTTCTTCTACAATTTGGGAAGAATATATGTATTATCGTTGGCAAAGCTTCTAAGAAAATAACCATCAGTAGTTTACCAGCAATTTAAATAGTCATAACCTCTGACCCAGTTACATTGCTTCTAGGAGTCTACCACAAAGAAATGATATCAAATATGAAGAAATGCTCTATGTACAAACATATCCCACTGTAATACTAATTACAAAAGCAACAGGCTGAGCAGGATGTCTCATTTCTATAATCTCAACACTTTGGGAGGGCTGCCTGAAGCCCAGAGTTTGAGACCAGCCTGGGCAACATAGCGAGACTCTCTCTCTACAAAAATATTTAAAAGTAAGCCAGGTGTGGTGGCATGTGCCTGTACTCCCAGCTACTTGGGAGGCTGAGGCAGGAGAATTCTTTGAACCTAGGAGTTCAAGGCTACAGTGAGCTATAATCATACCACCGCACTCCAGCCTGGCAACAGAGTGAGACCTTGTCTCTAAAAAAAAAAGGCAACAAACTGGAAACAACCTAAATGGGAACTGTTAAGTAACTATTCAAAACCTGGTCTGTCAGGGGACAGTACTGGCAAGATGGGAAGCCTGCTGTAAATGCATTCGCAGGTCCTAAGCTAGACCAGTGAACTAGAATCTACGGTAATTTAAATGCACACTAAAATTTGAGAAGCCCTGAACCAGGCTACAGCTGCTTAACAAATTATTTAAAAATAAGTTTACAGTGACTGCATAGTAAGTTTAGATTGTAAACATGTTCCTCTATTGAGAGAGAGAAAAAAAAAAGGAAACATACTGTTTGGTATAACTGTGTTTAAAGAAAAACAATGCACAGAAAAAGTCTAGAATGTAACCTATTAAATGTTAACAGGGTTAGCATAGAAATTGGTAGGATTTCTCCCAGTCTCTGTCCTGGTGTGGCTTCCCTTCCTCTCCTTTGGCCAGAAAGAGAGGAATTCCCTTAGAGCTTTGTCTGCACCCAGAGGGCAGTTCTGGGATATGCACTGCCTTTGAGTCTAGGCAGGAGATGTGAGTGGGGAAAAAAAAAAAGAAAGAAAAAGAAAGAAAAGAACAAAATTAAACAGGAAACTCTGGACTGGATCTGTCATACCTTGCATTTTGGTTTCCTTCCTCCAGCTGCCTGCTACCATTTGCTTTTCATTCCTCAAATAGCTGATCCATATATTCTGCTCAGTGTTTTTTGGCTGCATTCAGTGTGAAAGAAAGGATGGAGTGTGCTTACTCCATTATAACTGGAATTGAAACCTTGCCTATCAGTAGCTTTTGAATGTTTATTTTTGAAAGCAGAGATAATTTAAGGGAGACATAAAAGCTTTTAGCGGATACTACAAAGCTGTGACAGGAAAGTCTCATATCTGCACCACTATGTGCATTACAGTTCCCCAAGGTCACACAGAAAACCAATAACCAGTAAAAACAGAGCAATATTCTTCAAATTCTAATGAACTACCAAGAAATTGGGTAAATTGGCCAAGTCACTTACACAATACCAAACCATAGAAAGAAAGATCAGATGGAAGAGGGAAAGGCTTCTGAATGAGAACCACTATCAACAACATTTAGAACCAGTGAGGCTTTGGTTATGAAATACACAGGTCTCCCCAGTATTTTTTGAGCACTGACACAATGTACTGATGACAGTCTGTTTGCCATCTTTCAGTTTGCAGATGGCCTAGAGCATTGGATTTTTCTAACTACATTTGCAAAGCAGGGGCATTGACTGCACTTCAGCCCCCTAC